TTCCCTCTTATGGCTTTCATCCTTTTTACTCTCTCCCTGCTTCTATGCCTTTCTCATTCTTTGTTTGATTTTTCTCTCTCCTTTTCTCCCTTTCTCATGCTTACATTAAATGATCTTTTCAGACAAGTGTCTGAAAAGCTGTTTTTTAGATTAACACAGACTCTGCTTTACTATTGACTAGCCTGTAACAGCTAATGTGATTTGCACTTCTGTTTACCAGCTTTCTATTATTAGACCCACCATACTGGGACTAATATGCAGGTAACTGTTAGTCACCAGTGGAGCTGCTAATTGTGTAGATTAATTAATCATTCCAATTGGATTTGTTGTCTCCAAACAGAGATGTGATTAAGGAAAAGTCTCTGCCTGGCTTATCTTTTGAGAATGAGTGACTTTAATATGATATGCTACCTCATATAAATCAGATGCCTGATTATTAATGCTCAGATATCACACCCAGCATTGAAGTAGGAGGGCAACAGCTATTCCTGCCAATGCTCCTGCCATTAGTCATCATGCTGAACACTTAATCTCAGGCAGTTCCCTGACTGTTGCCAAGGTGCTGGGCAGTACATGAACATTGCAGCAGTTCCCAGCCAGATTATTGGCAAGGTGGACTGGCTGGTTCTTATAAAATGCCTCTTTTGCTGCCGGCACACATGTCCTGTTCCTTTAACGCAGGAATCTGTTCTTCATGCTTCTTAGTCCACACAACCTGCTCCAAGCTCTCCGTATCTAGCTGGAGTCTGGCCAGGATCTCCTTCCTATTTAGCAATACAAGAGCAGCAACGTGGTTATAGTCCTTGAAATTCGTTCAAAAGCAAGTTGAGAATCCAGGGCCGAAAACAAATGTAGGGTCTGTGTGCCTCATTAATTAATCTCTTTTTTTATTGGTGCCTGTCCTGTAAAGTGTGAATGGCTGACAAGTGACAGAGCCATGGCTAAGCAGGAACAGAGATGTGCCCCGTTTAGTGCTGGAAGTCAGACATGTTCACTGTCTTCCAGCCAGAATACCAGAGGTGAAGGCATTCCGTAGGCTCCAAGTTTGGTTCAGTGACATTGTTTCTTATCAGGTTGTAAGCTGCTGCCAATCCCAACATGCAAAAGGAAAAAAGAAAAAAGCTGAGTGTGCATCAGCTGACATGGGCATGGCTCAGGAACAGTTCAACTTTTAAAAGCCTTTTATTATCAAGCTGTGACAAAGCTGCTTTGTACTGTAAATACAAAGAAATGACCCGCTTCCCCTCTCTGTCTCAGGTGGGTAAGAAAAGTTCCTTTCTTCCTTGTTCACAGCACTCCCCACGGCTCACTCCTTTGTGTAGGAGACAAGTTAGAAACCACTAACCAGGACAGAGAGGAAAGCCCTCTACCCTCCTGTACATGGGTCACATAGCTTATCACAGCAGATTCCCGTCAGTCTCACCTGTGGGTATTTGTATCTCTTTGCTGATGCCCATGGCAGGTAAAATTCCCTGCTCTCAGTTCAGAAGTGCCCTTTAGCCAATAGTTGCTAAAACAGCGGAGACTTGAGGTACAAATACCATACAGTGTGCCTGCTAAACCCTTCCCTCTGGATCAAATACGTTGTGGATGTGTTCAGTGCAAATGCGAGTAGGTCCCAACTTCCCATAGCCAGAATTATGCTTTGAAGGCTGATACTCGGATCACTGTCCATTGGTATCTGGCCTGGAGCTTTTTATTGATTTGCCTGTTAAAGCCAAAGTTGTGCAGAGCTGAAGGAAGGGGAAACCTGGCCTAGATGTAAAGTTCCAGCATTGTTTTTTCTGTTTTTAACCACATGAAATACAGTGAACAGGATAACGTGTCCCAGGAGCTGTCTGGTGATTTCCATTTCCCTTCCTCAAGTATTGAGACTGTTGAACTTGTCCATAACCCTGGCTCATAGCTCTGACATGCCTCAGCTCCAGCAGCATGAATGTCCTTTTGTCATTCTTTGCAGTCCTTTTTGCTGACATATATCTTGATGTGCGTCAGGCATGCTGCCTCCCAAAGTCAAAACAGCTGCATCTTAGTGAGAGGGAAGACCTTCAAAGAAAAAACAAACAGACCCTCGCTGTGGTCTATTGGTAGTAACAGATAATTAAGTCTAAAATTTTCAACAGAGGGAAGACGTTTATGGCCAGGCAAAACCCAACAATATGGTAGGAAATGCCTTTTGTGTCACCCTGAATGCAACCCCGAGTGATTGCAACTGTGGTGGTGATTTGGTAAATGTTTACATTCTTTCAGTCTTAAAGGCAATCAGCTGCACTGTATTGATTGGAACCTAAAGGATAAAATCAAGAGTGGAATCAAACTCTATCAAGCCGTTTGAACATTATCTTTTTTATCTCTGCAGGCATTTCTTCACCGCATCCGCCAGAATGCTGTGGACAAAGCCGAGAAGTACATCACAGAGGAGAATGTTAAGGTATTTCTTATATCTTCCTCATTTTCTCGGTAGAGAAAATGGTATGAAATGAAAGGCTAGATTCAGGGATATGCCTATCAAATATCCTCATGTCATATTAAAACTTATTATTAAACTGGTTCCCTAAGGAAAAGAGGCTCATGTTGACAGTTTATCTGTCAATCTGTTTGCCCATTTGTATAACTGTCATCTTCCAGCAATTTTTCATCCCACCAGCTAATTTCAGTAAAATTTGACAACAGTGTAGTGTTGTCAGAAACGCTAACTTTTGGCAACATTTGTGAAATGGTGGGTAGAGGACAGAGAGGCCTTTTCAGTGTCTCTGAGAGGAAAGGCAGGGAATGCACAGCCCTTGTCTATTTTGCTTGACAGTATTCAGTTAGCCACAATTTGCATCTGCTGTCTTTTACAAATTTGAAATTGGTAGGGCTTATGAGAAGAAGGCAGAAATATTTCTTTGTGTTCTAATGGGAAGGAATTTGGGTTCTTGTGGGAGGACCAAGTAATGGGAGACCCTTGCATGAGGAGGTTCCTGAATGAATTTTGCACTGGAAAGAGCTATGGGACATAGAACACAGAGCTGTGAGGTACTAGCTTCTCTATGCCTATGGTCACAGAAGACCTCGTTGTTGGTTATTTTCATAAATACAAGCAACACTTTTCTTGTAGTAATTTGGCTTAAAAACCCTACTTGTACACATATGCAGTAAAACCAAAACCCTCTTGTACACATATGCAAGTAAAACCTGATGATCAGTGGGACAGGGTGCAGTTTGTTTGCCATTAGAAGCTTACTTATTGGGCTTGCGTTTGATCCTGTAGCTCCTAAATCAGCAGAAACTTTGCTCTTTACACTTGTGGGAGCAGGGCACAGCAATAATAAGTATATCACGCCAGCCAGTGCCACTGCAGCTGGCATGCATTTCCCCAAGGCTGGTTCCTCCATTTCACATACTAGTATTACCTGAATGTATAGAGATCTAGCACGGCTCTAGCCCCCGTTTTGCTATTCATTCTACAGGCTAGCAATACTGTAGTATCGACTGACTGGCATCAGCAAGATGGCTTGGCAGCTTTGTGGAGCTAAGCCTCTCGCTGCCTTCAAATTTGGAAGTCCCTGCTCCCCAGAAACTCATCCTCTAGAGTCTGAAGTAAGTTTGGGGGTGGCTGAAGAAAATGTAGACAAGTGATTAGTGACAATAGATCTCGTGTGCAGAGAAGTATGCAAAAAGTGAGCTCTGCATGGGAAATAAACCTACGCAACCGTTTGCCAATTTGATGAACAGCCAGAGATGTTGATGAAATTTATTATTCTATCATTATTCATATATCATCAAAATGAATATTAATTATGGCTGCCACATAATCAGATGCAGTGCCCACAAAGCCTGTGCAGAACAATCTGTATTTTCTCTGCTGATTTAAATGTATTTGTATTTGAAGTTTCATCACTCTCCTCTGGGAAAGTACCACTTCATTTTTGTGTCATTCTTGAAGTGCCTAGGGGGGTCTTTTTGAGGCCACTGTGGGACCTCATTTATTCTTATTATTACAAACCCCAGCTTTCAATAACAGCTTCTCTTCAGTAATAAAGGGCTTATGCCTATTGCTGATGAAATAGAATCAGAAAGGCACAGTTTTCCTGATCAGAGTTAATATTATCTCCCCCTCCCATCCCCCTTCCCCCCCTACCCCAAATAATTTCATTGTCTTTCCTGCAGTTGAAAGGTATTTGTTCTTTCTTTCCCTCTCCTTTCTCCCTCCTTGCTGGTAGAGGCAGGACAAGCAAGGTGGTGTTGGGACTTCCAATAACTCTGCCTGCTAATATTATGTATCTTGAGTCACCAGAGAGCAGTGAGGTGGCTGGCAGCAGCAAGGATGGTAGCAGAGATTGTATAAATGGTTTGGCAGCTTATGGAAGGAGAAGCCTGTCTTTTCCTTTCTTCATGCAGCAGAAATGTCTAGAGGAAAATACAGGGTATTCTGGCAGTCACACACCTCTGAGCAAAAGGAGAAAGTGCTTTTTAGGATAATTTGGGTTATTGCTCCCAGTGTTATTTTTGCAGGTTTCTCCTACAGCTAGCGCTAAGCACTGGAGATTTCAGTAATCTTTGGCCGCTGTATCCCCTTCCAGAGAGGCCACATTGAGTCCTGTGCCAGGCCCAGATTTTACAAGTACTCCAGTGACTAACAGCTGCAGCAACATCATAAAAAAATGGTTTTAGTTTATTCGCTGCCTCATGTGGGAATAACTCTATTGATGTGTTAGTATTATGCTACATTCACAGCAGGGCACTGATGTCATTTTACTGACACAGATGATTGAAGGCAGTACAACTTGAGGGCGTATGCAAGCTGCCAGACATAGATCCTCGCATGAGGCTTATAAATGGTAACTGTGTATTAGATATAGAAGCACGTGCAGTCAAGGTCTCTCTGCTGCCTGGATTTTCAAGTGACTCTTCTTATCTCTGAATTCTGCTGCAAGCAGAGCTCTACTGACCACCACAGAATTTGTTAGATTACACAGATATTCCTTGGATCAAAAAATCCCCCCCGAAGACTGCTCCTGAAGGATAAAATCATCCCTGACAGATGTTTTCCTCTTTCTTGTTAATCCCCTTTTGGCACAGCTTCTGGCAAAGCCATGTGGACAGAGGCAACTGTGTCATCACATCACTGTCAGCCACGTGACAGAACCATCGTGTGCTCTGCTTGAATTAGCACAGGAAGGTTTCTGGGAGCAATTAAATGGTCCTAGCTCCCTGTCCTTTATTTTTGTTCAGAGCCCATGAGTGCAAATTCAGGGTGTTGGAATCTTCTAGTTTATTCAGAGCTAGAAAGGAGCTATGAGGCACAAGTACACATTAATGATGGTGCATACTACCATATCTCAGTGTTCCTGAAGTGAGAGGGGAGCAAAGACAAGGAAGATGCAACAGGCTCTGCTCTGCACATGCAGCCCACTTGCAGGAGGAGTTTGAGAGAGATATTCTGCCCATCCTTGAATAATAGAAGGTACAGAGTTGAACCTGGGTACACACAGAGAGGAAGGTTCCTTGAATTCCTGGTCTTGTCTACCCGTGCAAAACCAGAAACTGGTTTTAAACCAGGAATTGAGGTTTCATTCCTGTTTTTAATGATTAGACTTAATTTACAGGTTATTGTCTTTCTGAATTACTGCCACATCACCAGCCACCAGGCTGAATCAGTGTCACATCTGGTGAATAAATTCCGCTGCATAAAGTTGAAAAGCTGAGTGTTATGGTAAGGTGCTTTGGGAAGTGTTGGAGGATGTTAGGCATGATCGCGTCCCACCCTGAATGCCAGGACGATGAAGGCTGGCTCTGTCAGGCTGTACACTTTGGGGTTCGGAGGAGTGTCACCCACTCGCTGTGCAAGACCTGGGAGGCTGCTTCCAATGTGAAAGCTGGTTTGACTGCACTTCTCTTTGACTGATCTTCTCTTTGCAAGTGGCATAGTTAAAGTAAAGTGATAGAAAATGTTGTCTGCAATACGTCTGTCATTGCAGACTCCAGGATTTACTCTGCCCGTTCAGGCTTTCCTCCAGCGGCTGTCAATACTGCTGGCTGCGTCACCATGCATCAGGACTTCTCTCCCTGTGTAGGTAGCATTCTGTGTCCTATATGTGTATTCACACTTTCTTCTCATATTTTGTATGAAAATGATTAAGACTTACAAAACTGTAGTGGGTTGACACTGGCTGGATGCCAGGTGCCCACCAAAGCCACTCTATTGCTCCCCTCCTCAGCTGGACAGGGGAGAGAAAATACAACGAAAGACTCATGGGTCGAGGTAAGGACAGGGAGATCACTCACCAATTACCGTCACGGGCAAAACAGACTCAGCTTGGGGAAATTAGTTCAATTTATTGCCAATCAAATCAGAGTAGGATAATAAGAAATACAGCCAAATCTTAAAAACACCTTTCCCCCACCCCTCCCTTCTTCCCGGGCTTAACTTTACTCCCGATTTCTCTGCCTCCTCACCACCAGCTACACAGGGGGACGGGGAATGGGGGTTGCGGTCAGTTCATCACACGCTGTCTCTGCTGCTCCTTCCTCCTCAGGGGGAGGACTCTTCACACTCTTCCCCTGCTCCAGCGCGGGGTCCCTCCCATGGGAGACAGTCCTCCACGAACTTCTCCAGTGTGAGTCCTTCCCCTGGGCTGCAGTTCTTCACAAACTGCTCCAGCGTGGGTCCCTCCCGCGGGGTGCAGTCCTTCAGGAACGACTGCTCCAGCGTGGGG